AAAAAAAAAAAAAAAAAAGTTTCGAGGGGTGGGGGACGATGGGAAAGGGAGGTGCGGCTACTGGCAAAATGCTCGGTCTTTGCGTTAGCCGGACCCCCACCGGCGGCCCCACCCCATCTCTGACTACCGCTGTTGGGGCGGGGGCCAACATGATTTACCTCGTTTACGAGGCCCTATGCTTGCAGGGGTCCCCTCTATATAGTCTCTTATTAGGAGTAGGGGGACGATGGGAAAGGGAGGTGTGGCTACTGGTAAAAATGCTCGGTCTTTGTGTTAGCCGGACCCCCACCGGCGGCCCCACCCCATCTCTGACTACCACTGTTGGGGCGGGGGCCAACATGATTTACCTCGTTTGCGAGGCCTTATGCTTGCAGGGGTCCCCTCTATATAGTCTCTTATTAGGAGTAGTGCTAGGAAGGTAGTGAAAGGTTAAAAAAAAAAAAAAAAAAGGGTTTTTGTCGCCACAAGCAAAACTAGGAGAGGTCGCTCGGTTTGGGGCGCTGTTGAAAAAGCAAATCGGCGGCCTCCTAAGTGGTGTGGGTTTCGTGCTGACACCCTTGGGCCGATGTGTGATGTGTGGTGTACCGATTGAGGGGGCTAAGGGGCTATAGCTCCTCTAGGACCAAGGGGCTGTATACCTCCTCTAGGACCAAGAAGCTATACCTCTAGGATCAAGGGGGGGCTATATACCTCTAGGTGGTTGGCACCAAGCATGCCCAGGAAGGAGGTATATGAGGCCAATGTGGATCGAACCCAAATTGAACCCAAATTGAACCCGAATTAAAACCCAAATTGAACCCAAATTGAAACCCAAATTGAACCCAAATTGAACCCAAGACCTGTATGGCGAGCCTAAAGGAGAAGAGGGCATTACATTTCTCCTGCCTTTTTGTTTTTTTTGTCCCCTTTTTTTTTTTTATATTCGCAGCCCTTAGGCTGGGGTGTAGTGGGCTTCAGCGTCTGTGTCAAGGTGTCGCATTTATGGCGGCGGGCGACCAGGAGGCAAGTTGGTTTTTCGGGGGCAAAAAATTTTGTGGGACTGGTCCTTGGCAAAATTGCGGACTACCTACAGCTATCTCTGGTAGAACTGGGACTTTTGGAAAAACGAAGGACCGGTCCTCGGGTGGAAGTGGACCCCAAAAAGAAGTGGGGGCATTGGGCCGGTCCTCGGGTAGAAGCGGACCCCAAAAAGAAGTGAGGGCATGTGATCTGCAAAAGGGCCCTCAGGCCCAGGCGTTGAGCCCCGTCTTCTCAAAACAGGGAGGTCAGGCACAACGAAACAGGCGTTTTGCAAGAGGTAACTTTGACGATTTTCTGTGCTCAGACGAACATGCATAAAAATCTGAAATTTTGAGAATCCATAGATGAGGTCGTGTTCTTTCCAGAAATAATAATAGAACATTTACAAAAAATTATTTAGACTGTGAAATAATTGTCACGCCGATTCAGCATATTTTCCATTTTTGCCACTCAGCCATGCCTCGGCCAACTAAAAAAGTGCTCCAAATTCAGTGAGTTTTCGCGCTCAGAAGAATGCGTGAAAAAACCTGAAAATTGGAGTACTAATTGACATTTCGTTAAAACTGATATTTTTTTTTAAATTCACGAAATTTAGCGTATCAGAAAACAAAAATTTTCAGTGTTTTTTTGTCCCCATGACGTTGGATGATCAGATCATCGGGTGTCGTGGCGACTCCCGATGATCTGACCATCGGATGTATGTTAACGGTACTTTTACGTTGAGGTACATCAGATGGACAAAGTCAGATAACCACTTTTTCAGCCGATGAGCAATGAAATTTTGACTAAGTCCACTTTCGTGAATTTAGAAAAAAATGTCAGTTTTAACGAAATGTCAGTTTAGTCGTAAATTTTGTTGTGATCTTTCCAGGACAAACGCTACATAAATTTAAAAAAATCATTCCAACTGTGAAATAGATTGAGGTCTCAATTCGACCCATATTTCAATTTTGCCTCTCTCTCTCTCTCTCTCTCTCTCTCTCTCTCTCTCTCTCTCTCTCTCTCTCTCTCTCTCTCTCTCTCTTATCATCTCTTTCTCTCTCTCTCTCTTTCTCTCTCTCTCTCTCTCTCTCTCTGGACGTTGCGTCACTCGGACGTTGCGTCACTTCAGAAGTGCGGGTTCTGAGATAACCAAAACCTTGATGATTATCGGAACTTTTCATCGAATGGTAACACATACGAGATGGCGGATCTACCGCCCGTGATTGACCTCTTCGGACGGGAACTCCGACTCATGGATTACCCATGGAGGATAACCCGCGCCGCGATACTTGCGTTCATCCGAAACTGCAGGGACGCGGACGTTCGAAATAAATTCGAGGAGTACCTGGAAAAGCAAGAAGCACCAAATCGACGGATATAAAACTGAAAG